AGAGAGAGGGGATGAGAGAGAGAGAGGAGAGAGGAGAGAGAGAGAGAGAGAGAGAGGAGAGAGAGAGAGAGAGAGAGTGGAATGTAGCCCCTTGTCAATGTGTGCAAGGTCCGCTGAATGAAACCAGACAGCATCTATAGTGCGGTCCCCGAGAGGGAGCGTAGGCCGTCGTAGGCAGATCTTTGAATCCTGAACATTTTATTTGATAGCACTTTAGTTGTCCACAACCCTCACACATAAACAGAGTGCTTTTACCTGTCTTGCACACCGGATCCTGTTTTCTAAGCTGTCAAACTGTCGGTTTAAACAAAAAAAAAAACTTATTCATGAATGAGTCAAAACTCTTTACTGACTACTGACTAGCCAGTCTGTCGACCCGGGGAATTCCGATGACCGACAGACCTTTTGCTCGCTCCCTCGCCCCCTCCAATGCTGACGAAAGGTTGGGGTTTTGCACTCTGCCATAAACAGCTCGGCGACCAGGGCTGCAGAGGGCAGTACACCGTCAGAGGGCGGACAGTGAGGTGAGGTGACGGTCCGTCTACACGTAGGTAAGTCGATTTATCAACATTTGGAGAGCATACTTTGAAGCGCAAAACATGCTAAAAATATACTGTTTTTAAAATAGCCGCATAGCGTACACATGAAATATAAAAGAAGTGTTACGTTACGCTGCCGTTATCAATTATCATTATATCATTTTAGCTTCAGACGACGTAACATGTAAAGTAATGAAGGTATCAAACTGTAACCAAAATAGCTTAAATCAGCAAGAACACAATTGCAACTGGTCATGGACATCCATACCAACACTGGTAATTGGAATGTCAAACCTGTATTTACAGTCATCTAAACCCGGACAAGAGTCGCGTTCGGCCGCAAGGAGAACCCCCAACCACACGCTCGGTCGCATCGTCACCATGTCAGCTTCGGTGGGTCCAGGTAAGGAATGCTCTAAGCCCGATGGCTTTCAAAGCTCCGTTGCGAAAAGGGTCAGCGTATAGGAATGTGCATTTTATCCGGGCACGGTAGGGGAATACCGGCTCAGTCTGGGATTTTTTCCAAAAGACATATTGGTATATGGCTAGCTGCTGGCATGTTTGAACGCTCATCGAAGTAACAAGTAACGCCATTGAACAATATATTGCTTGCCCTAGACATTTATAATGTTTTATCGGCACCAGCTATGAATGACTTTCGATCATTTCAGAATGTAGGTAGGCATACCTAAATGGCACAAAAACAGGCATAAATTCCTTATGTAATATGCACTCTTCATGAAATATATAATTTCTAGACAGCCAATATTTGAGCATCCCTATGTCACGTTTTCTTCAGGGTAAAGAGCTGCAGAAACTTACATCGGATTTCAGAGATGAGTGTAGCATTTTAACCCTCGCATGTGTAGGGGGGGGGGGGTCGGATGGACCCCCCCATGGTTTTTCGCGAATAACTCGCGTAAAAAGCGGCCGATCGCGACGAAACTTTCAGTACCCTCGCATTGATCAATTTTACACCTACCCTGAAAATTTCATGACCCTGACCCAAATGACCTTTGACCTGTGACCTCTTTTCCGAGACCATGTTTGGCCGGAATCGCGATTTCGCGTATGTCGGCTCGCACTAGCCGCGTGTTTGCAAGCTTTTCGTGGTTTCAAACGTTCAAACATGTGATTTGATGTTACTCCCGTGTGTGTCAAGGTCACCTGAAGGTCAGGTCAGGTCATTGACCTTTGGTGACCTCGGGTGACCTCGGGTCACTTTTTCGAGTTTTACATGTTTCTAGGCTAGTTTTTGGAGCTGAATTCGAATTTAGCAACCATTTGAACATTAACGAAGTAGTTTTGGTGACTTCGTAACATGTTACGAAGCTGTCAGAGGCGGTTGACACGTACTACGAATACCCGTCACGACGCCTACTGGTTGACCTGACCTGACCTGACCCGACCTGGTCTAAATGCTTCAAGACATCATCTGTGATCAAAACTAACACGATATTCGTGATCAGCACCCCGAAAAACCCCTTAGCAGCCACACTTTACGACTTTCTAACAGGTCCCGATTTTCCCGACTTTGGGTCATTGACCTGACCTGGAAGGTCAACCAATGACCTAGGACCTTAAAATTGGGTATCATCGGCTTCCTCTCGTCATGGGCAACACGCTCGTTTTTTTCCGCGAAGCTCTAGCTCGATCAGGGGCCAAACGGCAAGGGGGGGGTCCAACCGACCCCCCCCCCCCCCCTACACATTAGAAGCTGGCAAACGCCGCACACATGCGAGGGTTAATTTATGTCATGGCTTGTTGGGTGTGTGCATTCTGCGCACATGACCCGAGCTACACCTCGTCTCTATCCGCCAGGTCCGGGCATCATCCTATGTCTGCTGAGCGGGTCATGTCAGGTCGACACTACCACCGGCTCGCTGCCGACCCGATCCGACATGGCACTGCTCCAGGAGATGGTCACCGACCAGCCGCTGGCCAACCACGTCACGTCGCCCTTCCTCATGTCCATGCTCATGTCGCAGGTCTGGCTGGGCGCCAGAGGCAGCACGAGGAATGAGGTGAGAGGATGGCAGGACTCGTTGCCTGTTTCGGTCAACCTTATTTTTTTGTTTTTCCTTGTCATACACGGATGGTTTCATGGAAGCGAAGCCGAGTGATAGGTACCAGTACCTTATATGAATTTGTGAGGCTCATCAAATTTTATCTAAGGGCAAATTAAAACAAATAACATCAAAGCATTAGGTATTGCGTGCAGTTGAATGTTTACTTACAAGGTACGTTTATCGAGAAAAGTCGACGCATTTGTTATCATAAAAGTGTGCTAAAACGTTTTCACGCAGTCATATTCCATCTTTCTGTTTGTCGCCAGATGTCAACAATCCTGGGGATGTCTTCGCAGCACATGGCTGCGTACAAAAGCGCACTGCAGCAGTTAGGGAATGCCAAAACGGGCGTCACCACTTCTGTGTTCAACAGGATTTACCACCTCAGCAGCTTCAGCGTCAAACCATCTTACACGGGCTTACTGCTAAACTACTACGGATCGCGGCCAAAGGTTCTTCCGCGCGACACGGTCGCGGCAGCGAAAGAGATAAACGATCTTGCATCTGAGAAAACTCAGGGAAATATCAAGGATCTAGTTACCCCGAAGGATCTCGAAAACGTGGTCATGGTACTTTTTGGAGCTATCTATTTCAAAGGAACGTGGTTGTATCGCTTCAAAACGGCCGACAAAATGAACTTTCTGACACCTAACGGTGAAAGGGCCGTAACAATGATGGAACTGAAGACAGAGGTGCTCGCCGGATACTTCAGGGACTATCAAGCTGTTGCGCTGCCCTATAAAGACCAAGACTACTCGCTGATCGTTGTGCAGCCTCACCAACGAACCTTGGCTGCCGTAAAGGGTCTCCAAAGTGCGCTCTCTTCGCTAGATATAGGGAAGATATATGGGCAGCTTCGCAAAAGAGAACAGACAGTCATAATGCCACGTTTCAAAGTAGAGGCAAAATACAAAATGCCTCAATATTACATTGAACTCGGAATCAGGAAGATCTTTAAATCCTCGGCTGACTTTAGTGGCATGTCTCGAGAAAGAATTTATGTGAAAGATATCATTCAGAAGGCAATGATCGAAGTGAACGAGGAGGGAACAACTGCGGCGGCTGCTGGTGTTGTGCTGATGACAAAGTCTGCATCACTACCTTTCATTGTGAACAGACCGTTCTTTGCATTTGTCTATCACAAAAAGCTGAAAAGTGTTCTTTTTGCTGCACATGTGAACGATCCGTCGTAGGCTTCAATGTCATTTGGCCAAGTGGTCGAGTGGGTGACAAAAAGCCGATAGTTTACGAGTTAACAAGGTCGTTGTCAATCTGCCTATCGGCTTTTAGTTGAGTGGGATACTGGAAACATCTTGATCCTGCAGTAGTTCGTCTTTTTTAGCTGTCTCATTTTGAAAGATTTGAACAATGCCGGTGTCTATAGATTGTTGTCACAATATAATTACAGCAATGAACCAGCTCACTTTGAAGTTTTTTACCGGAAACTACTACCTTCTTGCATACGAGAAGGAAGCATATTTGTATGCGTATACCTATCTAAGTACATACGTGAAGTTCTCTATCCACATGCGAAGCACCTAAAATACATATCTACATGCGACACCTCCCAGCCAACATTAAACCCGCGCATCGACGGGGGGGCGGATATCCGCCTCCCCCCCTGAGGTTTTTCGCGAATAGCGGGAAAACCGCGGCGCGTAGCGCCGCGAAATTTGGTATGACTATAACCTCATCAATTTTACACATGGTGTGCAAGTTTGAACCTCCTACCTTTTAAGGTCAGGTCACCAGATCACTTTGAATGACCCAACCTCAAGTCACTTTTTTGCAACTTTGTCACCGTGCCAGAGCTACAGTAGATGTCGGAGGCTTTTGAAAGTCGCAGGATATTATTAGGTCATTAGTAGCTACAATTTGTTTATCTCGGAATTTTGATATCGGTGACCTAAGGTCAGGTCAATTTCGCGACCTCCCCATTATAAGTCAATGGGGGAAAAATCAACTCCCTGTTTTTACCACTAAAACGGGTCGGAATGGCCCCATATACCATACATGACTTCATATACGATCAACCTTCACTACCTTGAGGTCTGTTTTGCTGTTGGGCAGCTGTGAGGTCATGTGACGTCATCATTATCAAAGGTCACCAAAGGTTTTTGGCCAATAACTCCGTACAGGAACAAGATACAGACGCGTGGATGGTCTCATTGTGTTCAGCTCGTCAAGACGCATCGAATGATATACATGATGACCTCGAGGTCACGTGACCTGAGGTCAACCTTTGACCCTGACCTTTCGAGGTCAACATATATTTCATTCGATGCGGATTGACGAGAGGATCACGATGATGCCCTTAGTTTGTTCCTATCTTGACTAATTCGAAAGTTATTCGAGAAAAACTCTCTCCATATCTAGCGCCGACATTTTGACTTTTTCGACCCCTGTGACGTCATCTTTGACCTGACCTGAAAATGACCTTAGTAAAAATTGTAGATCTTGGCCGTGCGTATCCGATGCCGATTACCGCTTGTCGCTATCTTGCTTCGTTCTCGAGATCTCAGGGGGGCGGTCATCCGCCCCCCCCCCCCCCCCCCCCCGTCGGTGCGAAGTTGGCGCAGACCCCCGTCGGTGCGCGGGTTAACAATGTGTGACGACAGAAGTTGACACACACGAACTAATGACAGTTGAACACCGGTGAATCATATAGTGACAAAGCAGAAAACACACGGCTGACGAAACAAAGCTAAAGGTTGAGCTCATGGCTGAGGACCATCCCGGGTTCCTGGAAAGGTGAGCACACCCGGCAACTGTCACTTTTGACATATTCTACACAAAAGGTTGAACCGGACCTGGTAATGGTTGCAGAGGGTTCACTGCTTCGTGGACAAAACGTGCCAATTTTTCGTTCGACTGAACTAAGGATGATATGTAGACAAGGAAATGTCCATTTATATCAATTGTAATGTAACAAGAAGTGTGTCGTTCCAACATCAAATTTTTACGAGAAACTGCTTCGTACACGCAGATGCCAGCTGACCCGCGGGAAGCGATTTTTTACTCCCCCCCCCCATATCAGGATTTCTGGAATATTTCTAAAATAGCATGAGCTAGTGGCTCTTTTCTGCCGCATCTTACTAACTACCTATATCTTTTCTACTTTAGGTATCTTTCCGCGTGTCAATCGTGGTGATATTCAGAACCAGGCCATCTAAGGTCAGGTCACCAGTTCACATCAATTGATTCACCTCAAGAAGAGAAGGCTAGTTCGCCTCATGTGTAGTTCGCCACAGCTACACCGTCTGAACGATTGGCTTTAACTTTCACCAAGTAATTACGATAACACGTGACACGATGAAAAAGTGTATATCGAATTTTATTCACATGAACAATCGGTGACTAACCAGTGCCGTGTCAGATGTAGATATGTACATATGCAGCCTCATAGGCACTAGGTAGCAAATTGAGTTTTGTCGTCGACTCTTTACGTGCGGAAGCTATCCTTTTGCTGATCAAGGTGAAGATACCCCGTCTCATGTTTCTGTATTTATACAGAAACATGAATGTTCTACCCATATGCAATGGACAGGTTGCAGTTGATGGCCGGCGGTCACTCAAAAGCCAAGGCCATGTTAGGTCATACAGGGTCACCGGGAGTTTTTCAACAATAACTTTTGATGGAGACATGTAAAGTGATAGATTCACATGCGAGGTTCGAATGTGTTTAGACCATTAACCCTCGCGGGCCCGGGGGGTGTTTTTCGCCCCCCCCCCCCCCGGTAAATATTTGCGATAGCTCCCGAACTCTTAGGGATAAGAAAATGTAACTTTCAGTACCTTTTTCCCATCAATTTAACATCTTCTGAAGTAAAAAAAAATTGGATCTTGCCCCATTGATGACGTCACAGGGTCGATTTTTCTAGACCCCTGCACGGCAAACTTCGGCGTCACAGACGCAAACTTCAAATAGCTGCTGAAAATAGAGTTTTAGAGATAAAGACAAATTGCGAGCACAGTTGTGTAGCGTTTGGCCTAGAGGAAAATGGAAAAATAGTTTTGGTGACCGGAGGTCAGAGGTCAGTTCAACGACCCCGAGCTGTGGTTTGAGTTTTTTTCGCAAATAACTTCGACAAAAATGATCCTAGAGCTACGGTAATGGTACTATCGCACTCGCCTTGTCAAGCCTCGTCGAATGGTCTATATCTTGTTTGGAAAAGGTTCAAGTTTTATGTTGACATCACGTGACCTCGAATGAACTTTGGTTGACCTTGATACATGCAAGGTCGTTTATGATGGATTCGTTCCCGCTGATCACGAATCTGGCATCTATTTTCCTCTAAGCCTTCATTTAGAGCCTCCAGATGGCAAAATTTTCTTATTTATTATTACTAACTTGAATCAGTGAAATAGCCTCTAGCAAGGACACTCTTCTGTGACCTTGACCTTTGATCAGCCTTGTATCGTAAGATGAACCACATATAGGGAGCTGATAAGCCTCAAAACATTTCAAAACATCTTGGAAATTAGCACGCAAGATGTATGAAAAAGTGCAAAGTTTGAGGTCAATTTTGAGCATGACCTTGAACTTAACCCGCGCCCCGCTGGGCTATTCAGCCATACGCGCCCTGCTGGGGGGGGGGGGCAGATTCTGCCCCCCCTGTCTAACTTCCGAACCGATGGTCGTAGAAAGACGGGGAAAACGGCAATCGAAAGCTCTCAACAAGGCGGATCTTAAGAGCCCAAATTTTTTTGCTTAAGTAGGTCAGAGGTCAGGTCAAGGTCAGGTCAAGGGTACAAAATGCAAGTTTCTACAGTATCGGCCTTGCACCGTAGTTGCCGAAGAATGGATTGAGACTGATTGCCCAAAACGTGTTCTTAGACTACCAAGACAATATTCGTTGCATACACTGTCATTCAAAGGTCAAGGTCAAGGTCAGGTCAGGTCAGGTCAGGTCACCAAAAACAAAATATAGAAAAGGGCATGTGCGACACATGTTTAATGGGTCATTTTACTCATAGAATTCAATAGGCACACTCAATAAGTGATATGGACCACCTCTGGATGAATTCCAGGTCGAGGTCAGGTCAAGGTCAGGTCAAGTGAGGTCAAATTTTGAAGTTGGTTGTTAAGGCCTAAAAAGGTGTCTATCTGATGCAGATTTTCACGGTGAATCGAATGGTGCTATTTTTGTTCCCGTACGAGGTCTAGAAATTCCAAAAAAGTCATTTTCAAAAATTTTATTTGTCGTGACGTCATAAAATTTTAAATAACTCCTACATTTTTGAACCGATTCTTCTAAAAATTGGTATGTAGGTGCACATAAACCACGTCTCTGACATATATTCCGGTTTTTTCGATACACTCAAAATTTTGGATTTTATAATTATTTTTCCAAAAAAGTCAGTTTTTTGAAAAAATTTGGGCCAAAATCCAAAATTTTCAAAAAACCGAGATAGCCATTTGATAGACAAAGTAGAATCACGTATAACCTTTTTTGTTACGTCTTAATTCGTTCAAAAATGAAGATGTTAGCGGCGTTTGAAATTTTGCCGTTTTTTAGGCGAAAATGGCGAACATGACGTCACTAAAACGTCAATTTCTCAAAAAATTTCCGACGGATTTCGCTCAAATTTTCAGGGAACGTGTCAAATTGATGTATGATAAGGTACTGAAAGTTTGACGTCGCTGGCGTAACGCGTTTAGAAGTTATTGGCGAAAAACGGGAGGGGGGCAGATTCTGCCCCCCCCCCCCCAGCGGGGCGCGGGTTAACCTTTGATGTTGAGTACATTTTTGGAATCCTCAGACTCTCTTCTTTCGTTTGACTCTTAATTTTACCGGTCTTATGCATCCTGCCGTCCTCCAGAACGCATACTTTGAGATCACTACACATGTGCCGGTTTTTGTCTTTGACCTTGACCTCTGACCTTGAAAATTGACCTGAGTTCAAAAATTTTGGGTGCTTTAGAATCATCTCGTAAGGCCCGGCCGGGTTAACCCTATTAGTGGCAGGCTTCTGGTTACCCCTATTAGTGGCGGGGGGGGGGCTGTTTACGACCCCCCCCCCTTGATATCTCGAGATCTAACGGGCCGATTTTCAAAATTCAAACGGTATTCGATTTCGCTCAACGTGATCTACATTTCTAAAAAATAAAAATTAAAAAAATGTCAATAGGGGGTAGAGGGGGGTAAAAACGGGCAAATTGCAGATACATTTTAGACTGTTTATCACGGCCAGGTTTCTGAACCAATCTTAACGCAACTTTTGCCGATCGATAGAGAATGAACCAGGAATTCACATGGATCCTAAAAATGTGCATTTTCAAAAATCATAGGCGGATACAGATCATTGAGATTGGGGGTACACAAAAAGTATAGTAAATAAGGTTTTTGTTGGTACTGTTTCTAAAAAAGGGTGGTAATGGTCTTGTTATGTTACAATTTTCTTATGAGAAAAGGACTACAATTGTATT